GGGGGGACCGTTGGCATTACATATTATCTTTCAAGGAGTACGCCCCATAATGTATGTTTTAACAGCTTCATACAGTATGACAAATAATTTGTAATAGACCTAAAGATGGCCGCATTTCCTTACTGTGTCGTTGCTACTGTGACGTCAGAAAAGACCACAGAGCGTTCTTTCACTACCTCTTGGTTCCTTCTTACCTCGGCAGAAACTATTCTTTTACACACAAATAAGTGGAGGTAGATTTTGTTAAAAGATTGGAAGCCAAAAAAGTAATCTTGTAAAAAACTTAGTTCCTTTTATCGGTAGATCTAGATCTAGATCTACTTTATTTTTGCTCCTCGTTTCGACAGTTATTGTTTGTTTTTGGTTTTGCTTGTTTGTTGACCAGGGATGAGATGATGTCGTTGGGAGAGTCAAAATATATCAACTCATCTGAAGTTCAACTAAACCGTTGGGACCTGTACAAAAAAAAGAGGTAGTGGAGAGTGCTGAGAACTGGGACATCGTCTGGCTTTTTTTGTGTGTAGGTGTTTTACGGCGCTCGCAACTGCATAAGGCCAAGGTAATATATGAGCGCGCGGGACACATTCAACATTTTTCAGTTGGTAGGAAATTTTGAATTTTGCCCGGGTGGCGGCCGAAGCCTACTCATATCGATTTTAGGAGCACCATATGGATTTTCAACGCGTGCAACTTGCTCACGGGTCCTCCGAGATTTTTTGGCCGTTATCCGAGAAGGTAAGGTGTTAGATTTTACCTACCATAAGATCGAGGGTGTGGATTAAAGACAGCAGTGAGAAGGAGCCGAAGAGAAACTATAGAAAGGCTTCTTAAAGAGTCAAGAGCTCAGAGGAGGGGGCAGAAAGTGGAGACGAAAGCAGAGGACACAGGAATATGGTTAAAGAGCAGGAAAAGCGGGTGAAAGAGGAACATTTAATAGGAGAAAAAATCTCCGTCGTTGTACGGATTCGAACCCGGGACCTATTGAATGAGAGGCAAACACCATAACATCTAGACCACGAGACCCCCCTACCGTTTGGCGTGTCACAATTTTGACCGTTTATTCTCAACCATTTTTCGTTTTAGTTATAGTAAGGTTTTACAGCGCTCGCAGCTGTGTAAGGTCATATGAGTGCCAATTTAAGGGGTGGATATCAACAGAGAAGTCAAAACGGGGAATCAGGCTTACTCTGGCCTCAGCAGCACAAAGTCAGCTTCGACTATCAAGGTATCCCGGAAATAGCAGTTCACAAGAGAGTGACAAACATACAAAAGAAGTAAAGGAGAAATGGCGATAGTAAGGATGAGGACAGAAAAAGCAGCAGTTCCCCCTATGTTGTTCCGGCACAGTATGAGCATGACATTGATTGATAAATCAGCCCTTTTACAATTCTACTGAGCATAAGAGAGAACATGTTAATATCCCCCATTTGGGAATGGCCTAAAGACAACTTCAGTCAGTAGCACTGCCCTGGTGGGGGGATCTTATTCATTAATTGAATAACTCAGATCTGATGTGAGTTACACATGAAACAACACCCAAAGGACAATAGCATGCAATCAGGGCTCTATAACTCGCAGCTGGCTTCAAATGTTATAATATTTTCTTCTGGATAGTGAATGAGGATTCAATAGTAAAGGCTGAATTTTTACTCAACCTTGAACTGGAACATTTGGGTCATCTTACAAGAAAATAGACCGGACTTGTGAGAATGAGTCATATTATAAAGCAAATACATCTATCTTCATTAATAGCAGAATTATAATAATAATATATGGTTTCAAACATGGTATATGCACGTGGTGAACTGGGACAGTGGCAGGTAAATTGAGACGTTGATTTGGGCGAAGTGGGAAATGCGCTTAAATACATGTATATAATTTTTTAAAAATAAAACCGTATATAACAACTTATTATCCCAGAAGGGCAATTCGGTTTGCAATGGCAAACATACATAATATACATAAATGCATATTATATATAAATACATACGTAAATACAAACACATAACATACATATATAAATACACAATAATATTACAGCAACTAACACAGAACAATTTCACAACCTTCACAGGTGGAAGAAGCTCAGGCTGATGTGCAGTGATCGATCAGTTACAGCTGACGGCAAAAATCGTGGATTTCAAATACCACTTCATTCAGATGCCAGATCCCGTAGACTCTGACACCAGAGATTATGCTTTCAGGAGGGGCTGCTCTAGTCTATCTGTAATCTAAATCGGTCATCACATATGCCACACTGTAAACGGTTATGTTCATTCCTAGATTTTGGAGCCTGGAGTTGTTAGCCATTGAATTGAAATGTTGTCATGGGACCTAAGACAGTCACATCAAGAAAAATTTATCTCTGGGATAATAACGTATTTTCATATCTTATCTCATCTTTATCTTTTCTTATCTTATCTTATAGTTGTGTTTAATTTCTTATTATAGTTATAGGTTATTACAAACAGAACGTTCTTTTTGGAAAGTTCAAGAAAGAAAATAGTATGTGTTTAACGCCCCTATCAACACTGTCACGTTATTTAAGAGGCGGGGCCTCCGAGTTTAACGTCCATCGCCTGACGGACCAAGCCAAATGGGAAATTCGTGTAAACTGTCTTTCCCAAGGACACAACGTCGGACCGAGCTGAGGCTCGAATCCCTGAACCCGCAATCTCCCGATTACCAGTCCGATAGCCTAACCACTAGGTTAACAACACCACCGATCAATCAAGCATACCATTGGGAAACAGGAAAATTATTTTTTAAAGTTCAAGACAAAGCATTGACAAATAACTCTGGTGATTGTATGTAAGTAAAATAGTTTGATTCTACGTTTTGTACTTGCTATAGGACTATATAGGACTAGCAAAACAAGTAAAGAGTCCCGTTACTTTGGGGGAAATGTCTTGAGTCCATCTACCCAATGCTCTACACTAAGCAGAGGTTCCCTTCAGCATCTCCATTCACCGTTTATATATGAATGTGAATGGTGATCTTCCCAACCTGCTTCTTCCCTTTTTGAGTGCGGTCACTTGTGGTAGGGGTGTCGGGGGGGGGGGCACTGCCCAGTTTTACATCCAAATTTATTTAGGTTGTGTACCGTGAATGCTGATTCCTTGGCGGCTGCTCCTGCTATGAGACTTTGAAAAGATCTAGATCTAGCTACATTGTCATTCTCTCCGTTGAAGACAGACGCTTGTTGTTGTTTTTTAAGAAGTCGCCTCTAGAGTACGCGAAGACAAATATGGGCGCCTTGGCATAAAAATGGAATAACTACTCTTTATCAGTCAGGTTTTCGTCTGTAGATCCGAGACATTTCTGAAAAAAAAAAATTGAAGAAGAAAAAAAACAGCAAACAAACAGGAAAGTGGCGACAACACCAGACTTTAAACAAGGATTTAACACCCCCTTTCTTTCCTTTTTCCGACAACACCAGACTTTAAACAAGGATTTAACACCCCCTTTCTTTCCTTTTCCCGACAACACCAGACTTTAAACAAGGATTTAACACCCCCTTTCTTTCCTTTTTTCCGACAACACTAGACTTTAAACAAGGATTTAACACCCCCTTTCTTTCCTTTTTTCCGACAACACTAGACTTTAAACAAGGATTTAACACCCCCTTTCTTTCCTTTTTTCCGACAACACTAGACTTTAAACAAGGATTTAACACCCCATTTTTTTTCCTTTTTCCGACAACACTGGACTTTAAACTAGGATTTAAAACAGTCACAGAAAACCCCATGATTTCTATTCGCCTTCTTCTCGAGTAGACAATTATGTATAACGTTGAAACTATCACCTGCCTCTCTGTACGTTAATTCGCTTTATCTCCGTTTCGTTATCTGGTCTGACCATACGAACTTGTCTCGTTGACTCTCGTTCATGATATCACAATTTCACAGTCCACCAACTCTAATTGGGGCAAAGATTACCCGCTTTGTGCCCTCAGGTAAACTCATCAGCGCGCCAATAACTCAGATCTGCAATCATCCTCAGCGATGCAACAGCAGGATTCCTTCCAGAACCCCGCCACCACAGACTCAAGAAATCGTTTCGGAAGTGACTTTTTCCGATAGCAGAGGAACTATTATTGACAATGCCATAAGTTGGTGAATTCCACGCAGTTCTTGGATTTCCCCGGAGGAGTTACGGAGAAGTGTGACAAAATTCTACGACGGAGTGGCCCATTCCGGGGGGCTAGACTGTGTGTGTGTGTGTGGTATTTGAGTCACCTCAACCGACTGAGAGCCGTCGTAGACCTATAGTCTTTCGCTGTAGGAAGTGATACCTAATTTGAAACGAGCTTTCGGTACATTTGGGAAGATCTTAAGAAGGAATCAGGAGTAAGCATTGAAACGACGGTTGGTTAATGTGGCTTACCAAAGACTGATCAATATAATATATTGATAGAAATATTATTTCTTTGTTGTAGTTCATAGTTTAGGCCTGTTGTTTTTGTTGTTGTTGTTGTTGTTGTTGTTGTTGTTGTTGTTGTTGTTGTTGTTGATGTTGTTGATGTTGTTGTTGTTGTTTTGTTAGTTATAATATTCCATTCATAGATATGACACATTATTTGCTTTTTTGGACGGGCGATAATTTTTTTTTGGGGGGGGGGTGGATTGTTGTTTTTTGCGACTTTGGTATCGTTGTCTTCATCGTTTTCGACCTTCCTTAATTCTTCTATTCCTTCTCATCTTCTTCCTCCCCCCCC